TTACCAGTAAGAGCTTAGGTCTTCCCATTGGATTAACTTTCAAGACAAATTCACAAGGCGTGTGGACCTTCATCATTGATGAATATTCTGATAGATAGAGATTGATCACTGTGGCACGTCTTCTGGTTGCAAGTTTGGCAACACTGTGACTTTAGGATTGTACTAGGAAGAATATGATGGGGACACCAATCCTTTCAAGAACAAAATATCCAATGATTGATGAATGGCTCCTGTAGGAACTCTTGGCACTCTCAAAGCTCAAGGAATAGAACTATTAAACCAGAGCCAGAGGGATAATGAACAAGTACTGATCCATTTATATATTATATTGAGATCACTAATTAAACAAAAACATATCTTTAAGGCACCTAAACAACTTTAGTATCCATATTGTTAGTGGATTAAGACCTTAACAAAGTTACGTCAGCTCTAGAAAACAAGCGTGCAAGTCAGTAATACTCTAAATGCACCATCCACCATTATTATTATAACAACAAACAAACTATGTGTCAATGACAACAAGGCAAATGTGAAGATTTTGAAAAACATCGGTAAAGAAAACTGATGGAAATTGCAACTTGTCTTTTAATAAGATATGGGGAATGAGGATCATGAAATTTAGCAGAAGAGGAAAGATGATGATGAGCTTATCCTATTTGAACCAATTACCGCAAAATGTGATGACCTCAGGAAAGAATTGGACAGGGAAGAAAGAAGAAAAATTAAAAAAGAAGAGTTGTTTAAGTGGGGGGAAAGTGGAGACAGTGCACATTTGGTACAGGTGATGGTACCAAAATTTTTGCAATTCCATGATGGAGAAGCCTAAAAAGGTTTAAAAGCAGATGCTGATATGGTAGCCTGTGTGGTCACAGAATTTTCAAGAGACTCCTGCCATTACTGAGGTAGCCAATTGTTTAAGGCAATAAAATTTTCTGAGGCAGTAGGAAATGTAATGCACCCTATGCTGCATAACCAATATGCATGATGAATGACTGTTTGCCAATATGCAAGTATAAAGCAGACACTCCTGTTACAGTTGCCATGGCTTCATTTACCTTTTGATAAAGGCTTTTTCATTTAGATATTACATAAAACCACCTTACAGTGAAATATAGTAGTTACCTTCAATGTCCATGGGATCATTGAGTGTGGGAGGCCTAATTGCTTCCAGAATTAGAAACAAATTTTAAACTATGGACATACTTATTTAAGGCTTTGACAACAACAGTTTACTAGGAGAACTGAATGTTCTTTTTAACATGTAAGAAACTAAGCTTTATTAGTTTCATTATGAATTTGGATCCAAACATGTTAAAATCTGTGGTCATGTGCACATCCACGCACATTGGCACAAGAGTGCGAGGAAGAGAGAGAGAGAGAGTTCATGTTGGGTTGAGTTGACGGGCTGTGCAATTGGGTGCAGTAATGGTGCACCAGACACACAAGGTCACTAGTAAAAAGGACCCACTTGGGCACAATTATGTGTTTATGTTGCCCTCTCAGCTGATGGTTGGCACCAAAAGGATTTGGCGTTAAATCCAGTCCCCCCCCGTACCTAGCACTTCTTTCACATTTGTGGTGCCCCTTCTCCTCTGTCTGCATACTAGCTATAGCAACAACTTAGGCTAGGCACGTATGAGGATAAAGAAAGCAATAAGCCATTCATGATCCCTTTTAATTCTTCTTTTACTTTTCAAACTTTTTTGTTGTTTTCTTTAATTGGTAGGACCCCAGAAACTTAGCTCATCTCGAAATTTTCCAATGATTAATCAAATCAAGGCATTTTCATGTGTTGAAGAAAGTTGTCCAATTTTTGGCAGTGCAGAGGATTAATTCGGTATGGTGTATGCTTGAATGCATGTTGTGATTCTAAAGGTGTTTGCATACTCATGATTTGGCTTTTGTAGCGACCTAGTCCTTCTCTTGATCCGTCTCATTTCCTAAAATCTAACCATATTTGACATCATAGTTGCCACAGCTTTCTGGCATTACTGCTAATTGGTATAGACTCCATGACAGGTCAGTGCTGTGAAGGATTAAATTCTTCTAATTGCTATGGACTGCATGGAAGGTCAGTGTTGTGAAGGATTAGAATTCCAGGCCATACTGCATACCACAGGCACCTTTACCACACCAATTCATATCAGTGCAACCGCAGGTTTCCAAGCATAGCCTCACTTTGGGGAGAATCGATTTTTCCAACAATGATAACATTTCACATATTACATTTTCTCTTGATCGACTGTTATCACAAGTTCACAACCCTCAGTGATTGATGTTTCCTGGCAGAAATAATGTGAGTGATACCACCAAAATTGATGAACAGGGCAACATTCAACTTACATCACACAGTTCAGTCAAATTACTAGTGATATATGTCAGTTGCTCATATTCTGCACCTGAAATCATGGATGAACAGCCAACTTGCCATTCACCTTCCACAAATAGCATATTCTATGGTACCCACATGCTATCAAGTTGTAGGAGTGACATATCCCAGCTTTGTGTATTTTTCTCCCCACAAAACTTTACTATCGGTCAATCATGTCTGGTCCAACTCCTTTTGGCAGCTTTAGATTTTCAGGTGTTGCTCAAAAAGTTTGGCTTTGATTCTTCTTTTTCATATGCGTGGAGCATAAAAATAATTATCTGCATGAAGGGTTTTAACAATGCTTCCAAATTTCCCATTCATGAGAGATCACAAATCTCTGCATTCCCTTTGTCCTATCAGATAATGGAATAAGGCAGACCTCTCTTAGTTGGTTCTTCATCTACTCTACCTAATGGGTATATGATCCATGGCAATGATAGGCTCCAAAGACAATGACCATCATTTTCACAGTTGAGTACACATTGGCACTCTGATAAAATCTCCCAAAGGAGAGCAGAATTCTTCAAAACCCTGAGAAATTTTATGTTAATTGGAGTACTTGATGAGTAACTGAAGGAAACAAATCTTTTTCCTAAAGTTGGAACTTTTTTTATACAATCCCTTCCCTGTCCATCTTCTGCAATAACTTAGTCAAACAACAATGGGATAAATATTACCCCTCTGAAGGGCAGTTCTGTAGTTTGACCCCATACTTTAATAGTGCAAAATTTAGGACAAGGACAATGGAAGCTGCCTTTGCAATGACAAGTTCATAATAGGTGGGGCAAAACTTTGCTGCATTTGACTTCGGCACAGCCGAGCTAGGAAGGGAATAAGGCATCAAGAAATCTGTTAGGACTAGGACAGTAGGAATATTAAGGCTTGATTCTGTAAATCGAGCATAATCTTTTGTCATCATTTCTATCTATGACAGCAGTTCTCTTGCATTCATGCACTGATTAACATTATATATAGAAGTAGTGCAGAATTTCAAAACATTATTTTACCTAACCTTCTTTGGATGTTTTGCAGTGAAACATATTCTCCAGTTGCTCCCCAATTCCTATCTAGTCTTTTTCTATAAGAATTTAGCAGCCTAGAGCAGTTCCTTTTAGTGGGAATCACCTAAAATAAGCTTTGTAGTGTTATTAAACACGGAAACGAATTAGATGTGGATAGAATATTGGTAATCTATTAACAAATAGCTGAGAAAACATGCGTTTGCAAGTTGCTGCCTCTGAGATACGCCAAGACTTTTTTGATCTGATCTTTCTTTTATTAATCTTTCCCTTATCATGTTTGCAAGTGGTCCTCAAGGGATATAGATTAGCAGCAATATTGTATAATTAATCATCAACAAACAAACTGATTATACTGACAAAGATACTGCCATTTTCTTAGTTTCAGGTTATATATAGTAATACTTTAGAAAGGTACTTTGGGTACTTGAGTTGGTAAACGTGCCAATCGATGATAAGACATGAAAGAATAACAAAACTGATAACCTGTTAAGAGGCACTGAACTATTCCCACACGTAGATTGCAAGATAACTCTTCTATAGTGTTCTTCAGTCAATGTCTTGGGAGAATTTTTGATTCATAACAAATCAGATAAAAAGCAACTCAAGGCAAGTATTAAACTATTAGGATGGAAGATAACTTTTCCTAACAAAAGCTTCATGTACTGATCAGGACTACTGCCTTAAACCAGTGGCTTGGGTGGGTTAAAGTTTGCCTCAAGGGATCCATATATGCAAATGAATGATCTCCAAGAAGAGGAAAAGCTGGAAAGATGAAGAAATCAAGCATAGGTGTCAGGAGAGAAGCAAGAATCCTTATTAAAATTGCCCAGTTTCAGTCCGAATGAAAGACAATGAGACTGCTGGGATATATATATATATATATATTTTTTTTTTTGCTCAGTGAGATTGCTGCGATTTAGGTACCTGATGTTAAACTATATCAAGATAATTGCACTCTTATGGGACCGTCCAATCTTAAATTTGAAGTGCCTAATGAGTCATCTGATTATAATAAAATTAGTCATAGAAACTATGCTTAATTTAATGGTTTACTTTTAAACTGGGCTTCATTGCGTCATCAGCCACAAGGCCTTATTCACTGCTGGAATTTTGTAGTATGAAAACATGTCCTGAGATTGACTTCAACACCATTTCTCAATTGCCTTTTCTTCTTTCTTTAAAACATTCCTCACTCAAATTATTGCTCCCATATCGGCAAGTTTTCCCTCTTCTAAGCGTCATATCAGATGCCAGATGATTAGCCAAATCTAAAATTCTATGGCATGCTCACACACCTGATCTCATGCATGCATATATACATCAATGCATACATACATACATACATACACACGTGTCACTATCCCACGACTGCAACACCTGTAGCAGCATTGTTACCTTTTTAGAAATAATGTATGGGATGTAAAGCGAGTTGTGCGTCTGCTACCACAGCATTCATAAATAAGATAAATTAACCAGTCAGGTGACATTCACATTTTTATGATAGATGTTTCAATTCTGCGCTTGTAAGCCCTGGTACTGTTACACTTGTTGCTGAAACTGGCCCACCTCGGAAGTCTTTTTCCTCCTATAAAAGCTCTCCATTCATTCCGTCCTCCCCTACCTTCAAAGGCTAAACAATCACTGCAACACATTACAACCCTTCAGTTTCAGGCGTCGACTTCACAACTTAAACCATGATTCCAGGTGAGCTCACAGGACTCCGCTACCTAGCACCAGAAAACCCAATCCTGATTCCAGCCAACCTTGGCATGATGCAAAATACTATACCAGATTTTCATTTCAATAGATTCTTGAGCAACCTACCCATTTCCCACATCCCACTACCTGCTCATGAATTCACTACACAGTCTTCAAGTATCAGCAATCATTCAACTTCAGACGAGGCTGAGGAGCTCCAGCTCAGCATCATCGATGAGAGGAAACAACGAAGAATGATATCTAATAGAGAATCTGCTCGTAGGTCGAGGATGCGGAAACAGAAGCACCTGGATGAACTTTGGTCACAGGTGATTAGGCTTCGCAACGAGAACCACAGTCTCATAGACAAATTGAATCATGTATCAGAGTGCCATGACCGAGTTCTTCAAGAAAATGAAAGGCTCAAGGAAGAAGCCTCCGATCTTCGCGAAATGCTGACTGACCTAAAAATTGGTAGTCCTTATTCTCTTGCTTTGAGAGAGCTGGAAGACGTTCCCTGCAACACTGCTCACCTGAGAGCTGAGTCAACAAACCAATCTATTGCTAACTCCGTAGACTTGCTTCATTGAGATGAGAGCTATTTTGCCATATATAACTATTCTGCGTTCCTCAGTTTGCTACGGTTATTAATCAAGCTTTTGGCTTAGTTTGAGCTGTTTGAGATTAGAATCAAACCATGCAATAACATCTTTTGATCATTTTATCCTAACTCAGGTTAATGGTCTACATACGTCACCTACACAATCCATAGCCTGAAGCAACTGTTTGCAGCTCTTCTCGCCGCATAACATTCCAGAGCATAATATGTGAAAATGATACCTGCAATGGTCCATCACAAGCAAATCAAACACTCAATCATGACTTTTATCTATTAATCATTTTAAGAACCCCACCAAACTCTGTTTATAGAATTTCACCTGAAATATGGATTAAAGAAAGAACAGTAAATAGCACTAAGAGACTAAAGAAAGAAATCCTGACGCATAATACGAATTATATTTCCACAATTTTACTGCCATAAGGGGAAGTAACATTTTTCTTTTCTTTTTCCATGTGCCCTATACAATGGTTAAGAAACAAGTTGCTTTTAGAGTGGTGGCCCTTGTGTGAACAGGATCCAGTCATGCCACAAGGTGGCCCCATAGCCAGTAAAATCTCCTGTGTTGCTCACAATAACAGGGGCAAGAGGACAAATGGTGGTGGAGGTGCTGCTAGTAGTGGCTCATCACTCAAATAACTACTATACAAAGCAAAACATTTGAAAAGGCTATCCACTAACATACCCCAAAGTACTATTTTCAGCTTTCTGTGAGGGCATCGATTTGCCTGCCTAGCTTGGGTTCAACCCAGTTTACATTGTTTTCACCAAAAAGAAGGCGACATCAAGCGCAGCCTACGCTTCAGGTGCTGCTTGAACAGTGCCCTTTTACAGAATGCCAGAACCAACTGCACTAGTAAGTCCTATCCATATCTCTGTTGCTTTCTCTTTGCTACGTGGATGATCGTGCAATTCGTGCTTGCACCTATGTTATGGATAATCTTCCAAGACATGGCGTCAGTTTCTGCATAAATGGAAACAACCAGGCTTTGTTTGTTCTTTACACGTAAAAAAGTAATGCAGACTACAGTTAGACGGTTTCTTATTTACGCTTCTCTTAATCTTTATGGATGATTGTTTTATTGGTACTTATAGTTCCTTTCCTTTACCTGTCAGTTGACTGAAAACTGTACAGCAGCTAACAAATCTGCTGCTTAGTGGGATTGTGTTTACCTGACCAAAAATAAGTTCTTAAGTTTCATGGGTTTTCACAACAATATATGTCCATGAAATCGTAAGCCATCCTATATGTTGAGATTGTGAATTTACTTGATTCTTGTATAATCTTCAACTGCTTTGCTTTTATGAAATTCTAAAGTTAATAGTATTTCATAAAGTATCAGACTATAGTTCCAGAAAAATTCAAAGAATGCATCTTTGGGGCTCAGAAGAATCAGAATATCTTTTTTAAGGGATCAATGGGTCATCCAGCAGCATATCAAGTGTACAGTACAATATTCAAGCTAGTCTTTTCAGAATAAGGAATCCAAACAATAATAATCAACAGCATATGGTGATTGGTGAGATCAAATAGTAATGACAATGATCATTAATAAAATTAAATCAATACTTTAATCACCTACTTATAATCTTGCTGAAAAGGCTTAAGTTGAGACTCAATTTACTCACTGCAAAAATGCTGTTCTTTTTTCCCCATGACAGACAAGCACAGATACACCCACATGCATGTATATCTTAATGGAAAATTTTCTCAATTGTAAAATGAAGAGTCAGTTCACCCCAAATTCAATGACCCCATGTCAGCATTTTTTTCTTTTTCTCTTTTTGCTTTCTCATCTTGATGGTTCTTGGTTACCATTTACAGAGAGACACATCAATATGAAAAGAAAGAATACTAAAGGCACTTCTTAAATGCATGAACTTAAATGATTGATTCGGGTTCCTAGGCAATCAAGTGTGCTTATCCTTACCATAATGATCCAAGAGAACTATTGCTAGGTCAACGTAAATCTATATAACCTAGTTGAAAATTGAATTAATCACCCTCAACAATCAGTGGTGGTGATGATAGCAGGTAAAGCCATAGTTCAGTTCCAGAGCCGACACTTGGCAATACGGACAGCATTAAGGATCATTGTAACCTGATTAAAAAAATTTACTCTAATGACTTAGAAGGCAAGAAATCATGAACTCCTCTCACCTCGCAATGTGAACAAGGGATGCAAATAGAATATGGTAATGTTATTTTATTGTGAAATAAACAATGTAATCTACACTAATAACTCCTTAAATAAGTCTGGAACTGATAAAAATGACAGTGGAAAAATGGAAACAGGCACACCTTGAAATCGTTTACTAGTAGTGCTGGGTTCCAGCCCAATTTCAGTTTTCAGTTATCTATTGATATCGGCGACAAGGAAAGGGGATCTAGCAAAGCATTGGACTTATGGGGTCCTAGAATCTCAGACGTAAGCACCTTATTCAAACAAAAAAGGAAAAATCCACTGAGTCTTGATTAATGCATGGAAGAGTTCTGTTAGCTTCAGGATCTCAGTTCTCAGGATATCTGAAGCCCAATAAACTTCAGGGCTAAGTACCCAATTGACCCAAGGAAGAAACTAGGTTCAATTCTCAGAGCACGTCTTCCCAGGAATGATGTTGGAGCCTTGCACCATGGCCTCCTTGCAATTCTAATTTCATTTGAATTCATTAATATTTAAAATAAATAATTCATCATAAATTTATAAATAATGTTAATAAATAAATATAAAAAATTAAAAATATCCTTTTTCTTTCTTGACCTTTTTCTTTTTCAGGTATTCTAATGATGCTTCTTATACATTAATAGGCCATCTCGCGACTAGATTTGACCGAATCTCTTCAAGCGAGCGTGATCTGATTGCGCTCCCCCAACTGCATGGCCCATATCTCGCACTCCTCTAGGGAGCACGGGATCATGCTCTCTTAGAGAGCACTAGATTGGTGCTTTCCCCGGGAGTACAATTTGGTTGAATTTGACATTTTTCAGCAGATCTAATCTTGAGGTGATTAACTAATAAAAATAAATTAGAGAGAATTTATTTTGAATAAGAGAGAAAAAATTTTAAAAATTAATGAAAGATACAATTGTAAAAAAATACGTTTTTAAACTAGCAAAAAATACAAACAATTTATGTGTTTAGTGAAATATATTTTTTTACAATTAATTATTCATTTCTAATATTAATAAATTTAAATAAAATTATAACTAAAACTTAAAAAATCAGGATTTAATTTACCGAAGATTTTTCTAATGATAGAAATTTGATAGATTATCCCACTATCTCAAGGATAATCAACCATCAACCCTCATGCTCTTCCTATTTACTTATGCTACAACACCAGACCTTATCAAAAGCCAATTACAAAATTAACGCCTACATGAGAATTAAAGATTGAATTCTTCGTTCTTGTGTTCAGATATTTAGTCCTATCATATAACACAGGCTCATTACAATTTACAGGGCCATAACTTGGGTATAGTACATAAGAGTTTAAGTGAACGGGAAAATCAACATCTAAAGTAAGCAGTTCAAAACGCGAGTTTGATTACTTTCTACTGGTAAAACATTACAAGAGCAAAGAAGCAAACAAGAAGATCACGGTTCATCTTTTTCCTGGGTGTAAATATAATCCGTATGAGCAGCCAAGGACCTCCTAATCAGACATTCTTCACCACCCAAGCCGTTGCACTCATCATCACTGTAACTTGATTCCTGTAAATCGTCAACATACAAAAACCATGTCAAAATATGCCCACCAAAACCGAAAAACAACAAACATCATTTCCCAGGAAACAATACTTACTGGTGAAGAAACTGGCATCTGAGGTTCATCACCTTGTTGCAGAATACTGGTTGGCAGAAGTCTGCTTTGTGCTGTAGACAGCAGAAGTAAAGCCAAGATCAAGAACACGAAGGTCTTACTCTTTGCCATGCTTCTTCTTTTCCTTTTTTTTTTCCTTTTTCAGTTTAAAGAGAGCATGGAGGAATGAGTTGAGCCTTGTCTAAATAGGGGGTAAGGGTATAGCTAGACCAGGGCTGCGGCCAGCATTTATGTTAGCAGTACTATATAGAGTGTTCGTGAGGGTAATTCACCTTAGGTTTCATGAATGAAGCAAGAAAAAAGTCAAAAGCTTGGCAACATCCACTAGTGGGGGGAGTCAATCGGTGACTTGTTTCCTAGGAAACATCGCCATTGATAGACAGCATTGAGAACCGTATCACAATATATATATATATATATATATATATATATATATTTCTTTGGATGATGATGCAGAATTGCAGAGTACTGTGTGATGGAAAGCTAGCTGTACATGCAGGTGTAAAATAGATACCAATCTCGCCCGCATGTGGTACACACCTGTCAAATTATTAGGGTACTCAGGTAAATTTCTCGGATATCAAAATAAATATTATAATAATATATCAGCAGTAAATTTTTTTTTAACTTTATAAAGGTAAATTTTATAATTAAATTTCGGGTCTATATTTTATTTATCAAAATCATAAAAATGAGGTAGTAATCACCGACAAGCTATAAAAAGATTAAAACAATTTATTAAACATGTCGAGAACAATGCGACAATATTTATGAATTGACTAATCAATTTAGCATTTCAAGGTCATCAAACTTAATAAGAGCTTGAGAACCCAACATTTAAAGTATTTAAATGGAATAAAAAAAAACATCATTTTAGGATATTTTATTTATTATTAATTGATTTTATATTAAATATTATTTTAAAATAATTTATTATGATATTATAACAAGTCTTGATCTTTATTGTCATTTTTTTCATGATAAGTTGTTACATGTTAAATTCGTATTTTTACGAATGAGAGAGAGTATTAGAATGGTGATAAGAAATCTTATATCTATTAAGTTGAAGTTATCTTAAACATATATATAATTATAGTAAAGATTACTTATTTTATTGTTAGTTGATTTTTGATTAAATGTTCATCTTAAGAAATTCAATAAACTTAGAGTCTTATATCGGATATGATAGAAAATTAGATTATCTAAGCTTTCCTTTTTTCTAATTTTTCGTTTATATAAGAAATATTACTTTTCTTTTGGTTTATGTTTTTATTATTTACATTTTGTTATTTATTTTTTATTGTTTTAAAGAATGGTGGTAAAGCAAAATGTTAAAAGGCAAAACTTCTAAATTTGTATTATACTTTATTTAAATTTTATTCAAATATATTTTTACTTAAATTTAAATATTATTAAGTGATTCTTTACCGAAATATCTCTTTCTCAAATAAAAAAATAAAATACTTGAAAAATCCCTAATTTATTCAATAAAATTCAAATAAATCTTTATTCTTTTGCTACATTTAATTAAATCTTTATAATTTTTATTCAAAATCAAATAAGTTTTAATGACTAAAGGTCAATTACTTATCATTTTATTCTCAAGTGACAATGACATATGGTTATATCGATATATCAAATTATAATTTATTATGACATGTTAATATGTCACGTCATTATCATATGACATAAAATAATAAGTAGTATTTTAATTAATAAAGTTTAATTAATTTTTAATTATAAAAATTTATTTATTTTAAAATAAAAATATAAAAATTTATTTAAATATTTATGAATATGATTTTTTTAAAAATATTAAGTAAAAAAAATTCAACCCATGCCCAAGTCGAAGCTTACATTTGTAGGTACGAACCCGACTTAAAGCCCGACTTGAACTGGCCTAGGCCCAGTCCATGGAAATCTCCGATCCAATGAGCAGGCAGGCAGGCTGTCCTCGTAGCCATGGAATAGCGCCAAAAACAACTGCCAAGATATTTTCTCGTTATCCTGTTTTTTTCCTTCTTCCTCTTGTTAAGATGCTATCCATATTTATCCATGAGTATCATCAACTGTTTTTTGAAAACCGTCACTCCAGAAACTCAATCATGGCATCTTCGCCAGCTCCAATCTCTGGAATATCTTTCGCCAACCCAACACTGCCCAGAACCAAGAAGGCATCAGCTTCACATTATCCCATCCCGAAAGAACCCAGAGCCGTGGCCAAAGAGATTTACTTCAACCATGATGGCTCTGCCACTAAGAAGCTTAAGGTCACTTTCTATGATCAAAGCACATTACATGACTCTGATCACTAAAACTTAAGCTTACATCCAGATGGCTTTCTTTTCTTTTTCTTTTTTTTTTTCATCGTTTTCTGTTCTTCTTTCTTTGTTGGTATGATACAGGCAGGTGTAGACAAAGTGGCAGAGCTCATTGGGGTTACATTGGGACCAAAGGGAAGAAATGTAGTTCTGCAAAACAAGTACGGACCTCCCAAGATTGTTAACGATGGAGAAACTGTTCTCAAGCAGGTTTTTCTATTTTCTACTTGGACCCATCACTCCATCACTTCTTTACCCTTTGTTTTTTGCCCCTTTCTTTTGATACCTGAAAAAATTTTGGAGTTTTGATTAATACCTGAAAAAATTTTGGTTCTTGTCTTCTTGAATTGTTGTAGCTAATTCCTTTACCTGGAAATTTACAAGAGTCCGTAAATTAGGATAATATATCTAGAGCTATTCAAGATAACCAGCATAAATTGCTTGAAAATAATGGACTGTCAGAAATTGGTACTTCAGGGGCTTTTTTTTTTTGGAGTATTAATATGCTATTTAATCTTTGTTGCACATTCTCAAGTATGGTTTGTTTGGTGCTAGAAGCAACTTAAAAAGAATCACAGGAGACCTTTCTGTATTTCTTTTCTCATGTTGATATATAGTTCACCAGGGTATTCAACCAGTATGGATATGTTCAGAAACTCTTGATATGATTTATCATGAAAGGTCCTTATCATTTAGTTGTCTATTTGGGCATTCAAATAAATTTAGTGATATTTGAAGATGCATTAGTACACCTGCATAAGCTAATATCAGGAACAAAGAGTAAAATGACTCCTAGTAGTTCTAACTTATTACAGTTCGGTACCTTTTTTTTTTCTGAATCGTATCTCAATTGTTTAGATTGAGTTGGAGGATCCGTTGGAGAATGTTGGAGTTAAATTAGTGAGGCAAGCCGGTGCAAAAACAAATGACCTTGCTGGTGATGGTTGCACTACATCTATAGTTCTTGCTCATGGTCTAATTACAGAAGGTGTGAAGGTAAGAATCAGATCACACTATGAAGCTATAATTTCAGTCTGATCATCCCATTCAAATGTATTTGTGATTTCAATTTATTAAGTAGGCTTCTGGTTTGTATAGCTTCAAATGGGAGTTCTGTCAACTTTTGTAATCAATAATTCTGTTTCTTCCAGGTAATTTCAGCTGGAATGAATCCAATTCAAATTGCCCAAGGGATTGAGAAGACAGCAAACGCCCTTGTTTATGAACTCAAGTTGATGTCCAGAGAGGTGCAGAACTTTTTTAATTCTCTTCTTTTCCACTCAAAAAAAAAAAAAACCTCTATGTTCCAATTATTACCTGAAATGGAAATGATATTTCATATATGTTCCGAGAAGCAGAGTTGAGATTATCTCAGGCTTGCCTTATGTGCAAATGGATAATATATTGCAGGTTGAGGATTGTGAGCTTGCACATGTTGCTGCTGTTAGTGCTGGGAATGACTATACTGTAGGAAAAATGATCTCTGACGCTATTCAACAAGTGGGAAGGAGGGGTGTAGTCAAAATTGAAAAAGGAAAATGTACTGAGAACAGTCTACAAATTGTGGAAGGAATGCAGTTTGATAGAGGATATTTGTCCCCTTACTTTGTCACTGATCGAGAAAAGAGGATTGTTGAGTTCCACAATTGCAAGGTATGAACTTTAGGTATTTAAAACCTGACATATGTTCTATAAAGTGATTAGAGGTTTGAAATCCTTGATTGCAGTTGTTATTGGTTGATAAAAAAATCACACATCCAAAGGAGATGTTTAAAATATTGGACAGTGCGGTCAAAGAGAACTACCCTATTGTGATAGTTGCAGAGGATATTAAGCAGGAAGCTCTTGCTCCAGTCATTAGGAACAAACTCAATGGTGTGCTGAAGGCAGCTGCTATTAAGGCCCCTGCCTTTGGTGAGCGCAAGAGCCACTGCTTGGACGACATTGCTATCTTGACCGGAGGTAATAAATACTGATATTCAAGTCAGCTCTTACTTTAGAAATGTCTATATATCAGTTCCATCAGCTAGCCAAGTTTATTTTATCCCGACAACACTGGAAATCAAGTGTACCAGTCACTGCAAATGAAATCGCTCAATATATTTCAGTGGATATATACTTCAGGCATAAATAATTATTTAGAGTGGAGATGATCCCAGAGGGTAGAGAAAAGAAGCTATACAAACCCAATAATTAAGTGCAATAGCTTTGACAACTGTTATTATTGTTATATGTGTTTAACCATTGAATGCTTTTTCTATGAATTGATTTTGGATTCTGCAAATGAATTCTTTAGTTGATATCTGAGATCTTTGTGCTAGTAATGAACTGCAATTTCAAGTTCTAAGCATAAAAGAATATATATTCACTAAGCATATACTATTAGTAGAAAGGACTATAATGACCTACTGCCTATTTGTGAGGAAAAAGGTTCTAATCAGGAGTTGGCCTTGAAACTTGGTGGCTCCTCTGTTTATTTACTATGGCAGGATAAAAATGTATTGTTTAGAATTCAGTTCAAAGATTGACGGGACCTTATTCCTCAGATTATTTGGAATCATATTGCTTTCTTTTTGCATCTGTAGTAAAATCACTTCTGCAAGCAAATTAAATTGCCATCCTTCTCCCGTAGAATTCTTCAGATTCCGAACATTTGCTTCCTCACAGTATTTAATTATTTTTGATAGGCTTTTCACATGTTGATCTTCTTTTCAGCAACCGTAATCAGAGATGATATGGGTTTGACTCTAGATAGGGCTGGGAAGGAGGTTTTGGGCACTGCTACTAAGGTTGTGATAACTAAGGACTCTACATATGTGGTTAGTGATGGAAATACACGAGAAGCTGTTCAGAAAAGAGTTTCTCAGATAGAAAGACTGGTCGAGGTGCATATAATATTCTTGGTCTTTTTCTTCTTTGCGTAATTAGTAACACAGCACATGACGCATACAGTGGTATGGAAACTAGGACCTCTCAACACCTCAGCCCAACCTTTTGCCACTGGAACATGCCCTCCTTGGAAACTGTGTCTATTATGCCAGTTCCATATTGCTTTATCACCTGTACTGTTAATTATTATACAATCACCTATCCTCTTTATATAGTAGTCCATGTTGTGTTCATTGTCGTTACTGCAGCCTCACAATGGTACAAGATGCATTTTCCACCATGTCAATAAATCAAATCAGAAAGAGCTACTAATGTTAGCTAGCATATTGCAAATTTTCAATGGCTATAAGGAAAACTCTTAATGCCTCAGGTTTAAAATTGATTACAGAATACGAGGGTGAGGGAGGAAAGGAAATGTTGTAGCTTAATTAAGATGTAGAAATCTACATATTTTCCCCTAATGATATTTCTAAAATATTGAAGAAAATAGGTGTCTAGTATTCTCTGTGAAAACTGACTTAAGTACTTCTTTTGCAGAACACAGAAGAAAATTTTCAAAAGAAGATACTGAATGACAGAATTGCCCGATTATCAGGAGGAATTGCTATTCTTCAGGTGAGCTAATAACCTTATAAGTTTTAGCGATGAAACATCTGGATACTCTAGGAATGTTGAAAAACTTCAATGGAGATATATTTCATATTGTTGATTGAATCTTAGGTTGGAGCACAAACACAAGTTGAGTTGAAGGACAAACAACTCAGAATTGAAGACGCTTTGAATGCAACAAAGGTAAATAAGTTACTTATCTAGTTTATCTGCTGATATTATAAGTCATTGTCATAAAGCAAATTCAGGGATTT